TGATTGTAAATGTGAAACTAATACTGATTTTATACTGTGCACTTGTAGGCTTTCCTGCTCGCTACTATCTGCAACCGTCGCTCTGTACCTACGTCGCGGTCGCCGATGACGCACCCTACCATGATCAGTCGCGCGTAGTACGAAACTCCTAATGTCGCGTGGACCACTTCCCGTCACCCTTCATCTCCCAACACTCTTTCTAGACGGTGTTGTAGTCACAACAAGCGCACGAGAGCACGAAGGCTGTCAAGCTGGAAAGAATCCAGCGCTTTCTTCAGTATATCAGCGATCATCTGGTACGATGGTACGTAGTTTGGCATTATAATACCACGTCTTGCTTGCTCGCATTCAATCTTTACCCTTATATCGATGTGAATCGCTCTAGCACATGATGCCTTGCCTTCAAGATTCTTGATCGCAGCCTGATTGTCAATTATCATTGGTATAGAAGTCACAATGAACGTGCCTAGCTCCTGCAGCAATTCTCGAACTCGAATTACTTCACGTGCCGCGTTTGAAGATGTGACATATTTAGCTTCCATCGTGGACAGCGGAAAGCTATACAGTTTCTTGGAAGTCCAACTGAAAAGGATGCCAATCAATATCGTGATGACCCCAATCAACGACTTATGCTCTGACTCATCCGCTGCGAAGTCAGCATCGCTGTAAGAGTCAAGTCTCAGTAGATCTTCAGCATTTTGATTAGCGGAATTGTGCAGCTTTGGTATTTTACTTCCCTTCGGGTAGCGTATTATCCGCTTTGCTGAATCCCAATCGCGAAAAATCGGCTGGTGCGTATGTCTTGTACCTTGTGGACAGTGAAGGAGATATCGGGAGGGGTGCAACGCGTCACTCAATGTAGGATGCCTACCAGGGATTGAAATGTGTTACTCCTGTAGCAGTCGTCACCAAATAGTGTGCGTACAATTATACATGAATTTATCTTAGCGCTGCAAACAATGTCAACAATTGCTTCTTTCTGGTCAACGCCATATCCTTCATTCTTAAGTGTCTCAATTCGCATACCAAGAAATTTACTTACGTGTCCAAGTTGCTTGATCGACAACGATACAAGACTGACAAAAACTCTTGGATTAAAGTTAGCGCGCGTTGACGTCAAAAAAAATCGACATACGCTCCGACAACTAAACGTTCGCTTCACTTAATTTGTAATAAAGACAAATATCCGTGATGCAACGCTTGCAGTCAGCTGCAATAATTTTTCAATAAAATGATTCACCTCACAAAAAATGGCCTGTTTTCGACCATACAGTGTTTCTTCTATCACAGTACGAGTTCTTCGCCACTGGTAACTATTGTTGAGTCGTAAATACCATTCCCCCTGGTACACGTAGGTGAATGTCCACATACCTTTCTTGTCTGCCTGTGCATAGGAGTTTGGCACGTCACCATAATGATCGGTAACCACCCAGATAACAGCAACGCTAGCCTAATCTTGACTGTTGTCATGTCCAGGACTGCAGAAAATGTTAATAAGAAATTAACACCAAAATTCTGCTCATTTCCGCAAGCATCAAGTCGAGCCTTAGACCTTTCCACTTGTCCTTTGGCGTCAATTTTTGCCTTCAAAAACCGCTTGCTGTGCAACACATTATACCTTGGGACGTTTAAGTGCTCAAAAAGTTGGGGCAGCTAAGCGTAGATATTACTTCTCCCATCGATATAGTCTATTCAATCGCCTTAAGACTCCTAATCCTCTCACCGCAATGCCATTTATCACGCTCAGTGATATGATCCACTACTTTTGCTGGTATATCCTTCTGCAGGAGACTTGCCAACGAAGTTCTTTTTGTCGAGCGCGTCAACAGCCGCGATCAATGCCAAGTCGTTTTCTTCTTCTTTTCTTCTTCTTTTTAGGCCTTCATCCGCACGACTTTCATACGTTACACTAGAAGGTTCATCTTCTTCTGAAGCCGACGCGACACATCCATAATTAACAATAATCCCACGCTCGATGTGCAAATTTTATGCCACAATTAGACTCCCAATATTCTTGACACGTTGTGTGACAATGACAAATTTACCCAGCTTTAGGAACACTCGATAACCTTTCACCTCGTCATTCTTGCAGACGATTAGACCAACTTTTAATCTCAATGTTATAATGAATTCATATGTGGGTTCCTTTAAACAGTAGAGCTGGAGCCAAACAACACGATAGAGCTTAAATTAGGTACTTTGTTCATCGAAACTTCTATTGGTGGTGCTCTTTCGTGGTTGGAGCGGCTTGAACTTCGGCTAAGCATGTATGATGCTTACTTCACGGCATCACCGCATCAATTTAATTATAGACCACATGAGAATATCATGAATCCGGCCATATTCACAATCGTCCTGTTCATTGCTTCTGCCTTTCCATTTGACGCTTAATATCTCGCTTCGGATACTTGATGCGTCAAGCCCGTATTTTTGCAGAATAAATTCACGTTGTGATATTTCAATCCCCGACTGGTGCGCAAAATGAGAATTTAGGAATCAAATATTTTCTCGGAGAAGACATAAAAATGCTCGAATTTTTGGCTGCGTCCTTGGTCTTGGTAAAAAAACTCGACATTATTTTGACTTGTCGTGAACGGAGTTGACAAGGTATCGATAACCAAGTCGATTGTCTGAAGTCATCAGTCCATTTTAATCACTGCATATCACCCCGCCTATAATTAAAATACGTGATTTTTTGCCCGGGTCCTTTTCGACTTGTTTTTGTTTGCTTGCCCTGTGCACAGGTCAAACAATTAACTTGCGTCTTGTCACTCGATTGTATCCCAGATTTTTTGTCCTTTGCCCTCCTCTCGAAGGTTTCTTATGACAGATGAGCCATACCTCGATGAAAAATCATTTAAGTGTCGACTTGCACGTCCATATCGACATTACCATTCGTTACGTCATCAATTACAGCTATACTGACGTCACGTGATTTACAACCGGAATCATGGCTCAGTATCCACCACAAGCACGTATTTTTTCATCTTTACATTACGTACAGCCTCGCCAATTTTTTCGCTACACGAGTGATCGATCACTATCCACATATGCGAGTACAAAACCCTTCTTTTCCAACTTTTCATGCGATACATTGTTCCTCATTATTAATGGGACAAGCTATACATCCGTCAGTTGAATCTTGCTTTGTTTATCGCCGATAGAAACTAAAAGCATCACCGAGGCAACCTTCGTGACATGAAGGGTCTGCCTATCTAGTAGCATTCACTAGCTGTCGTAAACACTACAGCTCTCAGACATGCGCTTATCATAAATGAAAAGTCGACTGGAAACATTGTCCAAAATCCATTGATGTTGAACAACGTTTCGATCATCGACAATGCAAGAGTCTTATTTACGTCACGACAATTTACCGCAATGTGCCCAGCTTTGTTACATTTGTGCCAATTTCGGGTATCAGCCCGTGACTTCGTGTCCGCTATGTGCAAAACACCATCCTTTCTGATAGCCTTGGCACCACACACGTCAGATTTAATCGCTTGCGCAAGATTCGTCAGCTCTTCGGCATGCCTTAAGTGGTCCATACAACTGTTATCATACTACGCTATAAGCAGATGGCGAAGATCGTAAGAAGCATATTGTACAATATTGTTAAGCACTAGTACCTTTGTACCCCCACTCGCGACCACTCACAGCGATGAAATGCAAACAATATTCTGGCCACTTCCGCTTCGGGTCTTATCTGGCAGTCAGAGATTTATTAACCTGAATTTGTATGAAAGTGGTCTAAAATTTTTGGTGCAAGCACTTCATCACGCACTGCAGTGTCAAATCCTGCTGCCACCAGGTTTTAAGCTGTTTGTGGTAGTATCGTTCACCATTGCCACTCAATTAATGCCTTAGCAGATTAGCCTTGACTTCTTTAGACCAATCAAAGTCACAGTATATACGAGCTAGCACGAGATGTCGAACAAAACGAATACCCCAGTCCAGGAATCGCGATCCTAGACCATCGAATATTTCCTGTCCATCACAAAGACGGATTAAAAGTATATTTTGTCGATATTTAGGCACTCGAATTCTGGTCACGTGGTGCGGAGGGTAATCGGATGGTGTTTTTGGCGCTACTGGCGCTCATTGTGCCATCTGAGCTTGATGTGTTGGCTAATATTGCCTCGTGGCAGGATATTCTTGATGCTGCCAATACATTGAACTTTATAACGTGAAGCCCTCGGGGCAGGTGCTCGAGCTGGCGGAGGAGTGCGTAAGGATGCGTTCATCTCCATGCGTGACAACGCAAAACTCCTCCCAAACGCTAATTGGAAATTCTAGTCTCTTGAGAGCCCTTCATGCACTCTTCTTCTTCTTCTTGCTTGAGCTTGGAAAGTTCAAGGCAAGTCATGAGTTCTTACATGGCTCCCAATGCCTCGAGTGTCTTGATTTTCACATTGCTGAAGTCACCTCCCTACTCAAGCGTAACTGCCTCTGCAGACTCGGTAGGTCGCATACCGCGACTTGGGAGCGGTCGCTTTCAGGAAAAAAAAGCGACTTCATCACCCGCGAGGTCTACAGACGTAGTCGGGCTCATAACCTGTTTTATTTAGCCTCTGTCTTTGAGTGTAAATTTGAAAAAAGCAATTATTCTATACTATGCATTTGTAGGCTTTCTAGTTTTTTTTTAGTATGGCTCTTAAAAACAATGCACGTTCTATCCGAGCAAAAGTCGCGGTAGTGTCCTGAATATTCAATTTCAATGGAACAATTTCGTGTAAAGTAGCGATCACTATTCATTAAGGTATTGCTCACATTGACATCAACCTACTGTCAAGATCACGAAACCTCCTCACAAACTTTCACCATTCGTGTCAAAATTGAGCCACTTTTCACCAACAAACCGCTGCAAAGCCACAATCATTAGCACGACTTATCCTGCGTCACATGCTTTTCGCCATTATCAGCACTCTTCGAAGAGTCCCACTCTCGGGCGAACAGGTCCCGTTAGACCGCAACGAATCCACGCCGTCCATTCATTTTCCGTCATGGCCGTCGCGACCAAAGCCGCGGCCTTCGTCGCGTCGTCCCCGTGCTTTGCGGCCTTCCGCAGCGCGCACGTGGCCTCTTCGCTCGCCGACATTGCTGCAAAGAAGCGATACATTGGCACGCACAATGGTACGTTCCACTGCGACGAGGCGCTCGCGGTGTCGATGCTCAAGCTCCTGCCGCAATTCGCCGCGCACGATGTCCTGCGGACACGGGACGAGGCTCAACTCGCGCAGTGCGATGTGGTCGTTGATGTCGGTGGCGTGTACGACCCCGAAGCTCTCCGGTTCGACCACCATCAACGCAGCTTTGACGGCACGTTCGACGGCCGCCAGACAAAGCTCTCGAGTGCCGGTCTCGTGTACAAGCACTTTGGCCGCGAGATTATCCAAGCGCTGGCTGCCCCGACGACGGTGCTGGACGACGAGACGCTGGAGCTGCTGCACCGGAAAGCGTACGAGACGTTCATTGAGCACATTGACGGCATTGACAATGGCGTGGAAGTCGCAAGTGCGGGCGATGGCCAGAAGCTCACCTACAACTACCAGGTGTCGACGAGTCTCAGCAGCCGCGTGAGTTACTTGAACCCTCGTTGGAACGAAGACCAGGGCAGCGACCGTGTCAATGAGCAGTTCCAGCAGGCCATGTACTTGACCATTACCGAGTTCACGGACGCGGTCCACGACCTCGTGCACTCGTGGCTGCCGGCCCGTGCACTGGTGGAGAAAGCCGTGAACCAGCGCTTTGAGACGCACAAGTCGGGCGAAATTGTGCATTTTCCAGAGTATTGTCCGTGGAAATCGCACCTGCACGACTTGGAAGCGAAGCTTTTGATCCCCGGACAGATCAAGTTTGTGCTGTACAACGACCCGACGGGCAACATGACCCGCGTGCAGGCACTGAACGTGGCGCCAGGCTCGTTTGCGCTGCGCACAGGTCTTTTGCCAGCGTGGCGCAGTTTGCGGAACGAGGAGTTGTCCCAAGTGGCGGGCATTGAAGGATGCACGTTTGTGCACAATGCAGGCTTCATTGGGGGCAACCGCACGTACGAAGGTGCGCTCGAGATGGCTGTCCGGTCGATCGAAGCTGCTGACGAAAAGAGCTCGTAGCGTGTCGTGCACGTTAAACGGGTCGCTGAATGATTCGTTACACACGTCCTGACCCGTTGACGCGTTTACAATGAACTTGTTTTAATCACTTTTGTATTTATCTTTTTATGTTGCTGATCGACATCCGGCGTCGTTGCGGCCGTCGACAAATGTTGCTCGAAGAGTGAAAATATTCGAGAAAATGGCCGCTCATTTTGAAAAATTCGGCGCCACGGACATCGAGCGCTGAGTAGACATCATGTCGGACGACGGCGTAGCATCGGCCACTATTGGTACGACTTTATATACGTTGCTAGTAGGTCGGAGCGAGGAGATAGGTAGGACTACATGTCATTCACTGAGCATCGCACGTTCGTGTGTATGGCCTTCAATCGGTCGATGCCCTGTTTTTGATTTTAAGCTGTTCTAAATCTCGTCCAGCCTACTTACCTGAGAAGTGCTGTCTAAATTTCGATTGGTGTGGTTCATTTCGGCTCCTATTTGTGCACTTAATAAATTGTTGCAGGTCGAGCCCACGAGATGCTGATGACGCAAAAACCGGTGGTGCGGGGCCGATACGCGAAGTTCAATGGCTCAATGGACGTAATGTTGCTCGAAGCGCTGCAAGTGAACAACCCATTTACGGCAAAGCACGGGACAAGGCTGCAAAAGTGGCAAAATGTGGCAGAAGCCGTGGGGCTGCGGGGGTTCAAGAACCCCGCAGCGTTTTCGTGGCACACGTGCCGGTGCGAGTCGAGAATGAAGCTGAACGAAGTGCTTCTGTGCTAATTGTTGTTGTCATTGCTGTTGTGGATTTTGCGAATGTTCATGTTGTAGGGACCGCGTGACGGCTCTCATGAAAATGTACACCGATGGCAAACACGACAAGCTATTTAAACACGGGACAATGGAAGAAAACTCTCGGAAAGAGAGTATTTTGCGCGAGATCAATGACACACTCGTTCGCAAGAACCACAGAATGGCTGGGCAATTGGTGACGGACAGCAGCAAAGAATCGGTCCTTGTGCCTAAAAAAGAGGCTGCGGTGTCAACTCCTTCTGCGGCCGTGGCGGCCCCGACCGTACCGCAGAAACGTCGAAAAATCGACGCTATTGTGGCACCACTTCTTGCTGCGTCGGACGTTCACGACGCTGGCAGCGATATCGGTTTCCGTGCACGGATCTTGGAGCTAATGGAGAGCAAGATCCAGTTTGATATGGACCATTGTCAGAAAGAGATGGAGTTGCGGGAGCAAGAGTTTCAGCTGCAGAAGCGGTTTCTGGAGTATTTACAGTCAAAATAGGACGACAGTCCAGGAGTCGATGGCGATGCTGGTTGCTAAGTCGGACCGGACGCAGCAAGCGACATGCAGATTGAGGGTAAGAACTTCACTGTCGATTCCCTTACCGAACATGTCGGTCGATACGAATGGGCGGCCCACTGACATTGCTTTGTTGCTTGACGCTTCTTCGACAGTGTCACGAGCCTGTGAGCTTCTGCTCAGCACTTTGGCTGCCACTGGATTTCGAGCATGGAGCGTTGCACTCGTCCTATTGATACCTAAGTTCGCCTCATGCTGCCTGTTTTGTAGTAATTTGACAAGTCGTGTTTGTAGCTCGAGCTGTGCTTCTTGTCGTGCGGAACTAACGCCGGAATGTGGATGCACAGACGCCGTTGATTGCGCTGTAAATTGTTGACGACAGTGCTGCGAATATAGTTATACCTGTCGATCCAGTCGAGTCCCGTCCACACACACAGCTCTGACCTTTCACGTGAAGCCATTGGACACTTTTAGCCTTTGTACAGAGCAAACGCCAGTTTGACACTGCGGTTTGCCCTGTCCGTTGCCAGTCAAGTCGCTTGTCGCACAGCTCGCCGCACTATGTTCACGTGGCGCACACAACTGCACAGCAACTCCGTAAACAGAGCGAGTGGCGACAATGGCAGAGCTACCGACTATTGACATGACGTACAATTGCGACGTGTACGCACCCGCAGAAGACACGTTTCTCCTTCTCGATGCATTGCACGACGAATTGCCACACTTAGTGGCTCTCGATCCTGCGCTCTGCGTCGAAATTGGGTGTGTATGGCGCTCCGGCGTGTGTTTTCACATAGGGCTACAAACGTTTGTCCCGCTGACAAGCAAAGCAGATGTGGAAGCGGTGCTGTGTTTGTGTATCTGGCAACGCAACTGCAGCAATCGAAGACGAGTGCGGTGTTCCTAGCGACGGACATTAACCGACTGGCAGCGAGTGTGGCGCAGCAAACTGCAACAAACAACGGCGTTCATACTTTTGACGTCGTGCATACCGACTTATTGCAATGCTTCGAGTCGCGGATACAGGTGCGAAGCATTGCCGGACATCGCTTTTGTGTCGATTGGGCTCACAATAGATACATTGGGTTGGTGTGCATTCGACTGCAAAGGGTCAGGTGGATGTGCTGCTCTTCAACCCGCCGTACGTGCCGACTCCGCCGGAGGAAGTGGGATCGAGGTACGCGTTGCTTGACACTCGTCTGAAGGGTTTCATTACTGACGCAACATTTTTTCTGTAGAGGTATCGAAGCTGCGTGGGCGGGTGGAATCCACGGTCGCGAAGTGATTGACCGCTTACTTCCGAAGCTCAACAAGCTCCTGTCACCCTGTGGTGTATTCTATATGGTTGTGGTAGAAGAGAACAAGCCCAGCGACATTGCAGCGGTTCTCGCCCAGGATGGATTCGACACGTCGGTGCGTAGTGACACGCACTGCCTTTGTACATGTTTGGTACGCACATTGTTGCAACCAGGTTACTTGTGCTTAGTTTGATTGTTTGGATTGTCGGTCAGGTTGTTCGCTCGACCAAAGCCACGAACGAGCGGTTGTCGATCCTCAAAGTGACGAGAAGGCCGTCGCAGCGTTGCACTCACGTGGAAAGCCGTGACAGCGCAGATGCGTAACCTCGTACTGTGCGCAGTCTTATACCATCACCGTGTAAGTTGTGTCGCTTGTTGAGGAGCCGGGTAGATCTTTCTTCGCCATGCGACAATTTGACAGCTTTCAAGCGATAGCGCGCTCTCGAGTTGACGATACGTCTAATGCGTGTGCGATCGTGTACTGGACCTCGGACATCGGCGTAGTAACTATGCCAATTGAAAACGCACAGGCGTGACTCCATATCCAAGCGAAGCACCCGCATACATGTCCAACCCTTTGATCGGACTCTCTTCAAACAGCATTTGCTCGCATAGTGCGACCGAACCCACAGGCCTCGTCGCTGATGTGTTTTGTCGGCTTTATCAACTCTCACACGAGCGTATCGAGAGGCTCAAATGTTTGCTGCTCGTCAATCTCTTCTCACAACGTCGATCAACAGTTTTCGACGTATTGCTGTTTGACCTGAACGTGCAGACCGCATACAGTGCACATGGATAGTTACCCTTTGTCTCTTACGATAGGGTGTGAGCCACAGTGTGCTGTGGAAGGCTGTCCTGGACAAACAATCCAAAGTTATGCGTCAATCAAACTGTGTTGAAGGAACGACAGTCTCCAGAATGAACTCTGCTGCCAATCTCCGTCTCCACAATGAGCCCAGTGACATCTTTCGCGTAAACAATGGAGCCGACGGCAACAGACCAAGCGCTCTTTGCGAATAAGTTCGTACCGTACAGTTGCGATGTATTTGACGGCATTTGCCCGTTCGATTGCTAGTGCGTGCAACTTTTTTCCCTCCCCATCCGACACTTTCTTCATGTGTTCACGTCGTCGCGTCAGACAGCTCTCGCGTGTCGTCACACTCGACGTACATCATCAGTGTGTGTGTGTCACGTGTACAATACCTCTTCGCCTGGTCAGGAGATTTCCTGCATACACTTTCTCGTCAGCCGATCGAACCTGTTCGTCGATAGCAACTGCCGCCAATCGGCGCAGTTCCCATTGACCGCTCGTTCCCTCTTTCTCTTCCGTCGCCTCAATCCGAACGAACGGCCACGTCCTAAATCTGCGCCTACTTCGTAACTTGTTGCAGTGCCAAATTTTCCATCAACCTGTGCACATCGTTGATGCAAAAGTCGTCTCGAGAGCGCTACATCGATAGCTCGCCACGTATAGTGCGTGCGCTGTCGCTCGGGTGGTGTGCAGACCAGAGACAGAAACGCGGAAGTTCTCATCGTTGGAGATCCCACCCGACTGTCGTCGACTGGCAACTCGACAGGACGTATTGTTCAGTGCCATTGATCGCGAGTGTCGACAACAACGATACAGAGCAGTGGACCTTTGAGTAACAAAACGCTTCGACGACATACAGAGCGAAACAAAGTGGCACGTTGCACGCACTTGTACTGCACACAGTGGGAAGACGGACAAGTGACGGACGGTGGAGGTCAGCAGTACATGCGAATTAGTAGTAAGTAAGCAAGTAAGTAAGTAAGTAAGTAGGTAATTAAGTAAGTAAGTAAGTAAGTAAGGAAGTAAGGAAGTAAGGAAGTAAGCAAGTAAGTAGTTAAGTAAGTAAGCAAGTGAGTAAGTAAGTAAGGAAGGAAGCAGGTCACAGGCGACTTCTCAGGTGTAACACACCACACACACATCCAGCCCCGATCTGACCCGAATCTCGCGCCTGTTCTTTGGCCCGTTCTTACGCCGCGCTTCACACACTCGCGATTGAGCCACAAAGAATCCGGCGGGGCCCCAAGTTTTCCGAGCTTTGCCCCAGCTGGACGACGACTGACTGGCCGCCTCGACTCGGGCTGTAATTCATGTACTCGCAAACCACATACTCTCTGCCTTCCCAAACGCAGCATCGACTGCCGCACCTCTATCGTACAACCGGATATCCTGTGCAACCGCATCGTTTCCACGGCCCACGCACCATCAGCACAGAGCAGAGCAACCCAATGGCGACCAAAAGAGGGGGAGGCGCGAGACCTAATCGAGCGAACGACAGAGCGAACGACAGAAACACACACACATTTGACGCGAGAAAGCACTCAATTTCGCGAGCCAAAAGGGAAGAAAGACCCAAATACAAATACAAATACCACACACACACACAGTCACATCCTCCAGCACCGAAACACAGAGAGAGAGAGAGAGAGAGAGAGCGAGCGAGCGACCGCTTACGAAGCAGAGCAGCAGCAGAAGCAGAAGCAGAGCAGAAGCGCCGCCACGTCCCTCTCCGCCACAATGTCGAGCGGCAGTACGAGCAACAGCCGCAGCGCCGGCGACCGGCAGCCAATGGCCAAACGCTTCACCAAAGCGACGCGTCGACGCGGCAACAGCCAAAGCGACGCGCAAAGTGCGCCGTCGGCCGCTGCCGCCCACTTCCCCTACGCCCCCGCGACGGCGCACACGTCGCACGCCAATCCCCTGAGCAGCAGCAGCAGCAGCGCCGCCAGCGGTCCGCTCTGCGCCACGCGCAACACGATCAGCTTTGGCAAACCGCTCGGCGCCGCCGCTTCGCTGCTGGTGTCGCCGCCCGCGTCGGGTACAGCGCTTGTGAAGGGGCACACGGGTCTCCTACCACCAGTAGCAGCAGCAGCAGCAGCGGCCGCCGCTACGAAAGACGACGGCGCGACGGCGTTTGTCTCGAGCAAAACGGGTTTCCTCACGAAACGCGCCATGTCGAGTATGGACGCGTTCGCCAATTGGAAGGAGCGGTTCTTCGTGCTGGCCGAAGGGCACTTGTCGTACTACAAACAGGGCGGCGGGTTCTTCAACACGGGCAAAGACGACATTGTGCACCTGAAGGGCGAACTCGAGCTCACGCCCGACACGCTCGTGCGCAAGAGCTCGATCGACGACAAGGCCAACTGCTTTGAGGTGGTTACGCCCACGAAGAAGATGTTTTGCCAGGCCAGTACGGCCAAAGAGATGGAGGACTGGGTTAAGTCGGTGCGCGCGCACATCCAGGCGCTCAAGAAGAGTCAGATGCGCGGCAGTTTCCAAGACGCCGCAACGGCCGCGCTGGCGGCCTCGGGCGGGCCCGGTAACGTCAGCGCGGGCAGTCTGGCCGCGGCGATGGCGGTGCAGACGCCAGGCATTGAGACGGACTACTCGCGGCCGAGTATGCTCGAAGACCACGAGATTGTGCGGGGCGCCGACAAGTCGTCGGACCCAAAGGACGTGGTGATCAAGCAGCTACTGGAAGAAAACCGCTTGTTGCGCGAACAATTGACGTTGAAAGACTCGGTGATTTACGAGCTCGAGGTCAATGGCGGGCGGTCTGTTGACGCGCCGTCTGCTGGCGCACGGAAGATGCGGTCGACTGCGCCGCAGATGATTTTGGATTTGAGAGACGTGAAGAAGAAACAGTTTCAGCTCTTTGATGCGGCCGAAGTGGGCAATCAGCACTTGATTGCGACCTTGCTGCGCGACAACGTGGTGGACGTGAATGGCGTGGGCATCAATCAGACGTCAGCGCTGCATCTTGCAGTGCGTAACAACCATTCGAATGCAGTGAAGGAGCTGTTGGCGCGCGGTGCGGATCCATCTGCACGCACGGGAGACAGCTACACGGCGCTGCACATTGCGGTCCAGGCTGGCAATGTTGAGTAAGTAATTGGCAGAATGTGCTGTTTGTTGCGCTGTTTCGGAAGTGTGTGCTAACGCTGTGCAATGTAAAGATGCGTGAAGGAAATTCTAGATGCAGGAGTCGACCCCAACGTGACGGACTATCAAGGCAATGCAGCCATCCACATGGCGGCCGAATCGGGCGATATCTCTGCCGCCAAGTTGTTAGTGGCTCGAGGTGCACGCATTGATGCGCCGAACGCTAGCGGCAGTCTTCCGGTCCACCTGTCGCCAATTGGCCACCCGATCCGAGTGCTACTAGGCAGCGGCTCGAACTTGGCAGCTACCAATCCATCTCAGCCGCCAAAGCCTCATGGCGAAATAGCTGCTCGCGAGGGCAATGCGACTCAGGTCGGTCACTTGGCGTTCAAGAACAAGTATCAGAAGGACCTTGCTCTGGGTCCTCGGGATTTCGAATTTGTCAAAGTTCTTGGTCGTGGTGCATTTGCCAAGGTGTACTTGGTGCGTGGTAAGGGCTCGAACCGGGATAAGTGGTATGCACTGAAGGCGTACAACAAGCAGGCCATTGTGCAAAAGAATCAGGCCCAGTATATTCATACAGAGAAGGCGGCGCTGCAGGCGTGCTCAGATCACCCGTACATCGTGACGCTGTACTTTGCGTTCCAGTCGCAGGACCGCCTGTTTTTGGTCATGGAGTACTGTGGTGGTGGCGATTTGCTCTCGGCGTTGACGCGACGGAAGGCATTTACCGAGAGCGAGGCTGCTTTTTACATTGGTGAAATCGCGCTCGCATTGTCGCACCTGCACTCAAAGAATATTGTTTTCCGTGATCTCAAACCTGAGAACGTAGTCATGGACCTGGATGGACATTGCTTGTTGACTGACTTTGGTATCTCCAAAGAAGGCATAAAGGATCACACGTCCGCGAATACTTTCTGTGGCTCTCCCATGTACCTTGCACCTGAGATGTTGTCACGTTCTGGCCACGGTTTTGCTTTGGATTGGTACTCGGTGGGTGCCCTGCTATTCGAGCTGCTGACGGGTCTGCCACCGTTTTACACAAACGACAAGAAGCAGCTCTTTCACAACATTCTCCGCGGCCACCTCGTGATTCCGGAATACTTGTCACCAAACGCGCGCGATCTGATCCAGCGATTGCTGCACCGTGACCCGAAGCAGCGACTGGGCTCTGGTCCGACAGGTGACCGGGAGATCTTTAACCACCAGTTTTTCTCAAGCGTCAACTGGGAGAAACTCATGGCGCGTGAGCTGCCGCCACCCTTCCAGCCTAAGATCACCAAGGATCCGTCAGGAGTGCCGGACACATCGAACTTTCCGCAGGCATTTACGGACCAAGAGATTTCAGAGATGGAACGTGGATTTGACTTCATGGACCCGGGCGCAGCCCAGGTGCAGCGCCCCAATCCCAACGGCCACAAGGATGACAAGCGCTTGTTCAAAGACTTTGACTTTACGCCAGAGCTGCAGCTGGACAATGAGGCGAAACAATTTGAGCAGCTCGCTCTGCAGCAGAACAGTTTCAAGAACTTGGCGCCGCCGGCTCTACTCGAAACGGATGAGTACAGCATTTAGTCGCCACCAAGACGCGTGAGGATTGCCCACAGAAAGTAGCCGGTCAAGCTTGAAGACGGTGGCGTAGTTGCTATGCCGTTCTAGTGGTGAGTGGAAGATACATGGTGGAATGGACGGGTGCGACACCGCATGATGCACGAAACGGAGAACGGATCCGTTGAAGCGAAGATTGCAGACTGATGCTGCGAATCCGCGGGGGTCGCTGGACAGCTCGGTCGAGGAGTTTGAGTATACGTGAATGTAGGGAATGGTCTGAGCTTGAATGGTAGTGCTCTTCGCGCCCTCTAGCGGGCAATCAGTAAGTTGACAAACCAAAAGAAAAACGTTCTGATGTACGTGTTGCTGCTCGGCAGACTCAAAGCGAGTGCCAGTGAGACAGGTGACAAGTGTGTTTGTGGTCATACGAGTCGACGTGTCGAAGGAAATGTACTATTGAGCACTGGAAGCGCCCGGCTCAAGGCAGTGTTGCTGACCACTACAGGGCAAATGAAGGTATCTTCCGAGTGATCAAAAAGCCCGATGGACCATTGATCGATTTCCTCCATTCTTGGCAATGGACATGAGGTTTTGCGATCCCGTCGTCCTCTGAGCTTTACGTTGTCTCCGTGTGCAAGTCCGCCCAGGCCTCACCTTGAAGCTGCAAGCACAGCAGTTGCTTGACACCCACGAGCAGACATTAAACAAAAGTCGAGATCACGAATCGATAGTCGCAGTCACGATCAATGCTCTTCCTCCCGTTTTCCTTCACCTGCTCTTCGCCGCCATTCGCTTCTCTGGCATCATACGACGTCACCGTTTTTTCCTAGAGATTGTACCCACATGTCCAACTACCTGCTGCGTACATGCGCTTGATGGCGGTCGTTGCGCCATCATCCCATGCCGTATGGCACAGCTGCTGTTTCAGAAGATGTTGCATGTGGATGTGGTCGCCCAAGTGGACTCTAAGTATGGCCCTCAACGCAACGGGTCGATCTCAAGTACATGTGCGGTGCTCGTTTTGCGACTCGCAGCTGTATCGCGGCATCTCTCGCTCATAGACGCTGCCGATCACGCCCCGTCGTGGCCGTTGATACTAACCCCTTCCCAGCGTGTCAAGCGGTCAGCTGCGTCAATGATACAACGGGTGTGGTCGTTTTGGATCCTGACTTGATGCGATCTGCATCACTCGTGTTCGTGGGTTTGACACTGCACGACGAGTCAGTCTCCCGCAAACAAACGTAGAGGCACTTATCGACAGGAAGTCCGCGAGTCTGTCAGCGAAATGACATGCAGGAAGTACTACAACCCGAAGCAAACAGCTCCTTCCGCTCGGGTTCATTGAAATGAAATACATTGTCGGGCGAATGTCAAGTGGTAATGATGAACGATCGAGTGGGGATATGCTACAACCACTTGGTAACTCACCACTACCACTCACGACCGATACACTCGGCGTCGCATGTTGTAGGGACAGACAGTACGCCATCGCTCGTACTGCTGCATTGCCCACTGCTGCCTTCAGCCGCTAACATTGTACTAAACTCCTGACACTCTTTTGCGCCACTTCCACACTCATTGCATCTTGGAACGTTATGCTGAGTGAGGCACGACAACAATGAGACGTTCCTATCGTTTTCGCGAGTGCACCCGACCCCCTCATTCGCTTTCTCTCTCTCTCTCTCTCACTCACTCGGTTTCGACCAATCCACAGTCCATTCACTTGCATCCATTCAATCGCAAAGCCCATCATGTCGTCGTCCCCACACTCTTCAGCCGTCACGGGCGCGGTTCGGCGACTTCTCTGTGACTTTTCCGGATGAAGTGGAACTCGAACTGCGCGCTGCGTACGGCGAACTCCATTGGGTCACTATCAAACGCGCACTCGCTCGACCGTACGTCCGTTTTCCCATTTCTGCCAACATCGATCGAGGCGTTCGACCACCTTATGCCCTTTTGCTGCCCTACGTGAAAGCACACGCACACACACACACACGTCTAACAATGCAAACCCTTTTTCCATCAGACCTGCGCTCACTGCTGTCCGTGTGAATACGCTCACGTTGTCTCGAGACGAAGCGTTGCAAGCCCTACAGCCTCATTTGGACCGATTTAACGCTCAATTGACCGAGTTAGACGGCCCACGACACCCCGTCACCGCCTTTGGTCATGCGTCGCTACCTGATGTACTCATGATGTCGTCGTCCATCAGTCGACAAACGGCCGTCGAGTTTGACCCCGCGCTCAAAAGCGTTGTGGTCGATCGACTCTGTGGCGAAGCTGTGCTTCGGGGCAGTGACATTTTCGCTCGAGGGGTCATGAGTGCGAGTAGCAGCATCAATGCCGAAGATAAGGTCAACGTCTTTGTCGATCTCGACCACAATCACACGCGGGGCAGTGACTTTGCCACGCACACGGGACGGAAGCTGCTGATTGCACGGGGTACGACGAAGATGGCCAGGACAGAGATGTTCCGAGCTGTCCAAGGTCTGGCCGTGACTCAGCTCGTCCGAGTGTGTCCAGATGCACCGCCAATGAACGGGGTGCTGCCAGGGCTCATTTACGTGCAGAATCTGCCGTGTTCGGTCGTGGCCCATGTCCTCGACCCACAAGCGGGTGATGTGGTGCTTGACATGTGTGCAGCGCCTGGGGGCAAGACTTCGCACGTGGCTACGTTGATGCGGAACGAGGGCATCTTGGTAGCGTGCGATCGGTCGAAACGAAAGGCACTTGCACTGCAGACACTGTGCGAAGAGCTTCGTCTCGACTGTGTTGTACCGCTCAAGATGGACTCGACCCATGCTGTGCTATCGAAAGAGAAGGCCGATATGGTATCGACTCAAGCGCAAGACAGCAGCTTCACGAGCGTGGCACAGGTGATAGCTCGTGCCAAAGGAAAGGGTAGAAGCAGCCAAGCACGTTTGCTGGAAGTGGAAGGCTTTTTTCCAGAGACCTTTGACCGCATCTTGCTGGATCCACCGTGCTCGGCTCTCGGCTTGCGTCCACGGTTGCTGCACGCTAGCAATGCGGCCAACCTGGCGGAGTATACCAACATGCAGCGCTGTTTCTTGTGGGTCGCTGCGTTTCTGCTCAAGCCCGGCGGCACGCTCGTGTACTCGACGTGTACGATAAACCCGAACGAGAACGAGCAAATGGTGCACCACGCGCTCGAAACGTACCCGTTCGAGCTCGTTCCTCAGCAAGAAGCTCATCTCGGCAATCGCGGACTGCAGGGCCAAGGCCTATCCGACCACGAAGCGTCTCTCGTGCAGCGCTTCGACCCGTCAGATGCAGTATTGGATACCATGGGCTTCTTCTGCGCCAAGTTTGTCAAGACGAGATCCATTCGACAAGATCAGGGAAATGCAATATGAATGCGCTGGGGAGACCTGCTACGGGTGGCAGGTTTCGTTCATAGACTGTAGCTGTGGCATCGGAGGGTATGCACGTACGTACATACGTACGTATGTGCGACTCGATCTTCAGTTTACAGGCCGAGTGCTGCTTTCACAACTCATTACTGTTACTATCTGCACGTTCGCATCATTGACTGCCGATGGTAAAACTCAAGTAGTCCGTCGGATTCGGTCACCTTTTGGATCGAGTATACTCGTTGCTGTTGTTGCTGTTGTTGTCGTATCGAACGTTCCCAACGAACCACTTCGTGCTGACCTCTAGTGGCCAGTGCCCCTTGTATCGACACGATGCACTAGACCTGCCGGCAATTGTCGTTCGCCCTGCAATCGGTCTGCGTTCATCGCATATTGACATGGCAGCTTCATCTTCCTCGCTCTCGACCGTGAGTCAGCCATTCAGCACGGCCTGTCAACCATAGTCAATGAATGGTGTTGCACAGATGATCGCTTGACAACAACATAGAGCAGCGACGACGAGTATAGCGACTGGCCACGAGATGACGAGGGCTCATAAATGCGGAGGTTTGCTTCGCCTGAGTCGTAAGCCACTTGTGACTGTCATCGACAAGTATTCGACAGGACGGACCCTAAGGCGGTCGAGCTTTTGTAAACGCTAACGACACGCCGATCATTCACGACTTGTGTGTTAAGGGCGTGGAAGGAAAGAGTGCGCTGGATATGTAAGCAGCAGCAAGAGTCGTTTACCGTCCGCTGTGGCAAAGGGTCAGACAAACGGTCAGTGTGTGTACGAGTGTAGCAGCAAAGGGTAACACGGAGCATCCGTCAATGCCAGTCGGATGGCAGTCAACGTTCTTTGTGTGGCTGTCCGATGGATGACACCGCATCGAGCAGTGCCTCGCACTTGCTGAGGTTCACAATGCGCTTCGACGAGGAGCTCCATCTTCTTGACTCTTCGAAGAAGGCCGCATCCTTTCCCGGCAAACGAACGCGACACGCGTGATGGTTGCAAGTCACGGGACAGACAGACTGTGCATCTTTTGTCCGCCGACTTGTCGGTCTGTCATACTCACGACGTGGTACGAGCTCAAGTCTTCCGCTGTTACTAATGACGACGCCACGACCGTCTTCTCCGACCTTCAGATGATACACTGGAGAGTCCATGGGGTCGTCCGGTTCGAGCAAGAGACCTGCGAGGGCACATCGTTTCCACTCGAGGCATCGAGAAAGCCCGTGCTCGACCAGCACGAGACCATGGAGAGAAATGACAGATATGCTGCGGGACGTACGATGGGCGGGACCTTCGTGCAAAAGGGTTTGTAGCTTGTTTCGCAGCCCATGAGCGCTCGACATGGAGCTCGTCGTCCACGCCAGAGCTCCTGTAAAGCACATGTATGGTGCAGAGTCCGTAGACGCTTTCCAAGAGATGCATCTGCAGTGCACAGCAGGTCGTTCACGATGGACACAACGTGGGACCATAACCCCCTTGTCGAAAGCAAGAACAGCTGACCGTTCTCTCCACGACCCGAAGCGCGTGAAATCGGTCGCCGGACGTTGTGCACGTCGATGCAAACCTCGTGCAAGACGGCATGAGCGGGTGGGTGCGGGCCGACCACCTGGTACCGCCGCATCAGTGACAGCTCCAAAGGAGCAGTGGGCACTGAGCCAACTGGGCACGTACGTGTCTGGAATCTGTGCGTCAAGAACGAGCAGGTGTTGGATAAGACCGCTGCTGCACGGAGCTCCACGGCACACTCGACGAGGAGCGCTGCGTCTTGCTATGATCCTGCGATGATATTACGTGCGCCTCAGGCAAACGAAGCAGCAGACTGTGCAGCACAGAAGAGTGGCCACCTGACTGCCGCGCGCGTGTCGTCACGTCTCATCGACTGCACACGACATGCGTTCACTTAATCTTCAGACGATCACGTGTGTGCAATGCCGAGGAAGCGTCAGAGGATGAGGAGGTGGGGTCGGGGGGGAAGTCTAACCCGTCCGGTTCCCCGCCGCTGCACTCGCGTCAGGGGTCCCATCCGAAGATTACCAGTTCCAGTAGACGCCTTCGTGCGCTGTTACACACACCTGACAATAGGGTCTCCTCCCCTCTTGTCTCTACCGTCGCGCTCGTCGCCATCGGTTGTAGCACGTTCACAACTGGACGGCCGCTTTGCGCGTCGCCGTGTGCCAAGAATCAGAGTCTCGCCCCGGATGGCCCCGCTAGGGACGGGGCGTTGACGGCCTTTGCCTATCCGAGCGCGCGACAGCTTTCGCCCAGTCGTCTGTTGCGACCGACGAACCGACTTCGAGATTGCTCACTGTACAATACTCCACCCAAAGCGCACCTTGTTACCGACGAGGACGATGAAGGTCTCTACAAGTCTCATTGTAGCAGCTGCGTTCCTTGCATGGACCACTGAGGTCGAAGCCGAGTCCACGGACTCGTACGCCTTAAAAAGCGACTCGCCCGTCGACCCAAGCGGGGAGCTAACACCATTGGCGACGTCGGGGTCCGAAGCAGTAGCCGAGACGTCGGACGAGTGGACGCAATCAGCTGTGGACGGCGGTAGTGCCCCTGCAGGCGGTCTTACGACGGAAGCGCAAGACGAAACGACTTTAGAGCAATCGACTGAGCAATCGACTGAGCAGTCGACTGAGCAGTCGACTGAGGCATTGGGTTCCTACTCGTCCGACACGCTCGAGTCGGCTGCACCATCGTCGGAACTCGAGGACGAACCGTTGGAGTCAACGGCCGACCCGTTGACCGACGACGCGCTGGGCGGCGGTTTGACCGCGACGAGTTCCGCTGGGGACGCTACGGAAACGGGTTTGTTCGACGCGCCGCTGCAGACGGAATCGTCCGACTTGTCCGAGTCCACGGGTTCCACCGGTATAGCTGCAGGATGGACTCCAACCCACTTGTCCGACGAATCTGCAGGCGACGACGACGTGTCCGAAGAGTCCGGTCTAGCCGACCTGTCCGAAGCGTCTGAAGTAGCCGACACGTATGAAGCGTCTGGAGTAGCCGACACGTATGAAGCGTCTGGAGTAGCTGACACGTATGAAGCGTCTGGAGTAGCCGACTCGTCCGCCAAGTCGGACGTGTCGACGGAGCAGACCGCGTCTGAAGGTTTGTTCTCGGACGAGGCCAAGTCGATCTGGATCGAGCGTCACAACTACTTCCGCAAGACAGCTTTGCCGTGGGCATCTGGAAACATGCGCCGAATAGGTTGGGACGATGAATTGGCAACGAGCGCTACGACAGCAGCGACCAGCTGCTCGGCGACAACGACAAGTGGCATGAACGTCTACGAGTCTACGTCGAGCGACCCGTCAGTGGTGCTGGAAGAAGCGGTGAATGCCTGGGTCATCGAGCCGGCGTTGAAAAACATTGGCATTGTCGTGCCACCGGCAGCAGAAGGCGATCCAGTGGGTGCGGGACTGTACAATGCCTACTCACAGGTCGTTTGGGCCTCGACCACGAGCGTTGGATGCGGTATGGCCAGTTGCTCGGAGGGTATGATGGTCGTGTGTGAATACTCTCCGGCAGGAAACGACGGCGAGTCCGAGTGGTTCGTCCATCATGCGCAGGCAATGCACTGTCCAGACGGAACGGTAGCCAGCAACGGTCTCTGCATTGTCGAAGGAGACAAGGCAAACGACTTGATTGCACCGATTCCTGATGACAAGCGAAGTGATCAGGTGTACCCGACGTTCGTAGCCGATATCATGGAGACGATCCTAGAGGCTGCCAAGGCGAGGGACGCGCCTGGAGCGAACTCTGTCGCGATTACCACGGGAGGCAATTCGTCGTCCTCGTCGTCGTACGATTCGACTTTGGGTGCGGATCCCGAGCAAACGTCTCTGGGCACCTCAGATTCTGCAACGTCCGACTTGACGGACGATACGTTGGGGTTCGTGGCCGACTCGTCTTCTTCTACTGCATCGTCGGCTGACCAGACTTCAGCTGACATTGAAGGTGGCCTTGATGCCACCTTTCCCTCGGACGACGCGACTGCTACCCCGAGCTCGTCGATAGAAGACGGCTCGACGTCGCAATTGTCCGAACTTTTACCGACACAAGATTCCGAGACCGCCATGTCGGGCGAGGGGACGACCGATTCCTCGTCATTGTCGGAATATTCGCCAAGCTTAGAGACCACTTTGGACGGTGAAAAAGACTCGACGTTGGCTGACACGGGCTATGGCTTCGAGCCGTCCACCGAGTCTTCCGTGGCCGATTCAGAGGCGATTACGGGCAAGGTGAAGCCGAGTTTTGAGACGGGTTCGTCGTTCGGGAACCAGGAGACGGAATCGGCTACGAGCGGCCTCGACAGCACTTATAGCACTGACACAGGCGAGCAAGAGGACCCGACGGTGGAAGAAGGTGTGACGGAGCCAACGGAGGACGAAGTGGCGACTCTTCCAGTGTCTTCCGACCTGGAATCCGTGTCTGCGCTCTCGGTGGACAACGAGAGCCCGAGCTTTAAGAGCAAAGCCCCCGTGTCAGCAGCAGCTTTCGCTGGAATGGCTGTGGCCGGTGTCGTGGCCGTCGTCGCTCTGGCCGTGTTTGTGAGCTACCGCAAGAATCAGCAACGACAGCGCGACATTATGTACGACGGCGGGATTCACGTCATTTGAGTCCGAACGAGCGAGAGCAAAGTCAGTGAGTGGAGAGAGACACTGAAACGTCTGAGACAGTGCAGTGCCGAGAGGGTGAACAAAAGAGCAAGCGATGCTCAGGTAGTAGTGAGACCTTTTGACACGAAACAATGAGCTTACGAGTCGATTTTCACTGCTATTTCGATGTCGTTGTTGGTGGTGGTGGTGGTATATGGATATTGTGGGTACGTCTTCCGATCGCAAGCGCATGTAGCGCTATCGACTGTCAGTGTACACAGTCGCACCTGTTGGCGTCGCTCGCTATCGACGACGACAGTATCGACTCGAAAGCTAAGAACTGGTTCCGGTGTGAGGTTCAGCCGGTCGACCTGAGGTGTCAATTGTTGGCAGCGTTTTTCTCTCGAAACGATTGAGGTCGCCAGTGTCGACACGACGATACTGAACGGATATGTGACATGTGGTCGGTCGACGACAGCTGCTGTCGAGCAGAAGGTTCAGAACGCGACCCAAAGCCGAAAACGCACTTGACGTCAGATAGTCAGAGAGCGGTGAGGTGCCCAGTTAAGTGCTGCGGAGGTATCCACTCGGGCCCTTGCCGAGCCAGCTGTCGAGTTACGCGCGAGTGTCGAGAGACTGGACAAGAACTATGAATGTGTGCAGTGTATACGCTCAAACAGGTTTTGTTTGGCCAGGGCGTGATGTATCAGGTAAAGTAGAGGTCTTGGCTTCTTACAGGTTTATGTACTATCTGCGATCTTTAGGAGATGCCCTGATCGTGACAGCTGTCTCAACGGAAGGCACGGTAGCTATCTGGGATCTAAGTCGGCACGGGTTCAGTGCCAAGTGCAGCAGAACCTGTCTGTCATTATATCCTATCTTTTAATACCCTTGCCAACCTTCATGTCACGGATACATATGAACATGTTGTGTCCTGTCAATCTGTCACTAAACCTTATACCCTCTTCAAATCAGCAAATACAAACGGATCGTCACGCTAACAAGATAAGCAGGTTCCGCGGCAACGTGACCGCCCGACTTTTCTAGCCCAACTCGCGTCACCGAGCAAACAGACCATACAAATAAACCATATAAATAGGCAAACAGACGCTCGGGGCCACCGATACACATCACAATTGAATCCGATTGCCCGCGCACACACGTGAGAAAATCGCAGTGGGAGGGCACATCGCCGTCGCCACTCAGACAAACCCCACCACTGTCTCCCCCTTCTCCCCCCTTAGCATAAACGACGTCCACCACTGACTGCTGCGGCCATTGCATTCGCAACAGACAGTAGCAAAGGAGTCATAGCCAAAGCACACACCGTCGGGATGACCGTCGCGTGCGTCGCGCGCTTTTCCATCGCTGTCTTCGCGTGCGTCGCGACCGTCCACAGTCTGACCTTTGACGCTTCGGCTCAGGCCCTTTGGCTCGACCGGTTCAACTACTTTCGCTCCACGGGGCTGCCGTGGTCAGCAGGCAACATGCGCCGACTCGGCTGGAGCTCCCGCTTGGCCGCGTCGGCTCAGAAGACGGCCGCTACGTGCGCTATGGAGACGTCAAAGCCGAACGTGATCTTGTACCAGTCGGTCAACTCGACCGCCACTGCCGCCGCCCCCTCGTCGTCGTCGTCTTCTTCTTTGTCTTTGATTGACGACGCGATTCAGCAATGGGTCGTGACGACGTCCCTCGCGACGCTCCCGACACTGACTCAGCCCGGGGCCGCTCGTGTCGGCGTCGGCAAAGGCACGTACAACTCGTACTCGCAGGTGCTATGGGCCACGACCACATCCGTTGGCTGTGCGGCCGCCAGCTGCTCGCACGGAGCGAAAGAGGTACTCGCGTGCGAGTTTGCGCCCGCTGGCAACGACGGGACGTCGGCGTGGTACGTTCATGCCGAGGCGGCGTCCGAGTGCCCCGAGGGCACGACAGCTTCCCAGGGCTTTTGTATCGTCGAGGGAGATGCCGCCAACGCTCCTATTGCGCCGATCCCCGCCGGGATGCTGACGTACCAAGTGTACCCGGCGTACGTGGCCACCATCCAGACGGTCCTGATCGAAGCGGCACGAGCGCTTGCGAGCGGCAATCGACAGCCAGCATCAACGCCAAGTGCGACAAGTACGACGGCTGCAGAGGGTGCTCCTCCTCCTTTGTCGTCTTCGGATCCGCCAGCGGTACATGTTGAAGAAGAAGGTGACAGTGTTGTTCAGACTGCGACTTTGGCTGAAGAGCCATCGCCATCGTCAGCGGCGCGGGTGAAGAAGTCGCGCGTTAGCGCTAGATCGATCTCAACGCCGACAGAAACAGGCGAGACGTCAACCGAAGCAGGCGAGACGCCGACAGAAGCAGGTGAGACGGCGGACTCGACTGATGGTGCGGTTGACCAAATAGAAGTGGCAGTGATGCCGAAGACGTACGTGTCGAAGCCACCGGTCGATAGCGAGCAGCTGCAGACGTCGCCGAAGACGTACGTGTCGAAGCCACCGGTCGATAGCGAGCAGCCGCAGACGTCGCTTTCGTTGCTGAAGAAGCAAAGGGTGGCACCTGACACGGTCACGGCCAATGACAGTCCCAACGAGGCGTCCGATACGCTTTTTACGAAGAGTGACAAGACAACAATGACGACGTCGAGCGCGGGCTCTTTCGAAGAGTCGATTGACGACCAAATCTTGCAGACGTCGTCTACGTGGTATGACGAAAGCTCGGCGCCCGGTACGGTCAAGGCGAGCGACGACGTCGAGTCGAACTTTACAAATCAGGAGGCACCGACGCAGTCAGAGTTACCACGAAAGGGTGAGGCCCCCGGCAGCTCGACCAGCACGCCAAGCCCGGCAGTTCCTCCCGGCAAGAGCGCTGCTATCAGTCCGGGGGCTCATCCAGAAGACACGGCGACGGGCATCAGTAATCAATCGAGCGGCGTCCCCGAGTCAGGCTTCTCTGCTGCCGGTATCGCTGGGATCGTCGTCCTCGCGGTCGCTGGGATCGCTGGTGTTGCGATTGTGATGAGCTACAAGAAGAACCAGCGGCGGCAGCGCGAGATCATGCGGGACGGCGGTATTCAGACCATATAACTAGAGCAGGGGCACGTGCACGCCGTGAGAGTATCAATTAAGCACTGTAAGAGTCAGTCCTGCTTTGCGACGACAGATGGGGGTGGCTTGTCCACTTGAAGTCGACCCGCAGCGACCGTCGCGGCGGCATTGTCGATTATCTGTCCACGAGTGTGTCTCGAGCGACAATGTGCGCCACTTTGTCGACCGTCTTGTTGCCCTTCAAGACGGACGCGAGCAAGTGGCGGCCAGACAGACAGACAGACCGCTCAAATCGGCCACAATTGCACTGCAACGCTCACGTTGGACAAGCCACATGTCGCCCGAGATCCTGCAACTTTTCCATATTCAGCGCGTTGCACACAGTGAATAATTGCAGATACCCTGCGGCCGGTATGGCAGTGGCCCTGTCTCGTGCCGTGCAACCAGACGTTGCGACGTCATGTTCGACCGCTTCTTAAGCAGCCGTCGACCGATCGCACATCGGGACAAGAGACTCTTTTTCTCTCTCTCGAAAACCGGTTGTCGTCGTCGTTGCAAGAGCTGCGACAGCTATACCCTTACAGCCGGTCAACGATCGGTCCATTGGTCTGCGGTCGTGGCAACGGCACGACAGGAGCAACGGCAGTAAGGGGTTACGTCAGGAGGCCAACAAACCCCACCTGACCTGTCGATTTGATACCATTGGCTTCACCCGTGTGGCCCTCGTGGCAAACCATTCGGACGATTTGACGCGCCGTAGCCCGCACGCAGGAAAACAAGTGGCGAAGGGCAGACACACATGGCCAGTCCAAAAGCGCTGCTGAGCATTGCACCGTCGTCGAAACGGCCATTTCTGCTTTCGATTCGCTTCGCACTTGCAGCATTCCCACCTGCAGCGCGTTCGTCGATCAAGCGGCAGTCGACGCAGTAGCTCTGCGTAGAACAAGACCTTCATAGGAGGCCAAACATGAAAGCCGCACGAACAGCTCTCTTCGTCTCTGCAACCACTGCTTTCCTCGTGCTTTCCACTCAGGCGAGCAACTACAGCAAAGAAGAGCAAGCGATTTGGCTCGACCGGCACAACTACTTTCGCACGACGGGGTTGCCATGGTCGGCTGGGAACATGCGCCGCATCGGGTGGGACGCGGCGCTGGCAACCCGAGCTGCGGCAGCGGCTGCCACTTGCTCCGCTACGACGGCACGAGGTGTGAACGTCTTTCGCCGGTCTCCTTCGGGCGACGTGTCGTCAGCGATTGACGAGGCGATTCAGGAGTGGGTCGTTGAGACGGCCGTGGCAACGATTCAGACCATGGCCCAGCCAGGCTCGACTGGCCTTGACGTCGGCGTCGATATCTACAATACCTACTCGCAAGTCGTCTGGGCCTCCACTTCGCTCGTGGGGTGTGCGGCAAGCGAATGTGCCGACGGGAACCTGGTCGTGTGCGGTTATTCGCCAGCTGGCAATGACGGCGAGTCGGCTTGGTACCATCACGCCCCCCAAGCGTCCGAGTGTCCCGGGGCGACGGTAGCATCGTATGGGTTATGCATCCAAGAGGGCGACGAGGCGAACGATCGGATCGCTGCGATTCCTACTGGAAGGTATTCGTATCAGGTGTATCCAGCGTTCGTGTCGGACGTTCAGGCCATTCTTATCACGACGGCGCGCGAGATCGCTACCGGCAAGAAGATTGCGCCGCGCCGCAGCACCGAAGAGCTTCGGAACAACAGGAAGACAGAGGCAACGACGAGGGACAGCGAGTCGGGCAGTAAAGGCTATCCGCCGAGCTTTTTGAGGAAACGCGGACGTGCGGCGAACGCATCGTCCGAGTACGAGTTCTCGTCGTCCGCGTCCGTCAGGACGGAAGGTGGTGGCACCGACGTGCCTCAGGGGAAAGTGAAGGCAGGTTCGGACGCTGACTCGACGTTCCAGAATGACATTGAGTCTTCCGAACGGCGCAAGTCGAGCAGTCCGGCGCTCAAAGAGCAGCGCGCCACCACACAAAAGGATATATCGTTGTCAACCAGTGAGGGCCATTCCAAAAGCGCCGAGTCGGAAGTGACATCGTTTCGGCAGATGCTTGGCATGTATTTCCTCGGAATGGGCGCAGTGGCCGGGATCCTCCTCTTTGTGCACTACACGACGCCTCCCAAACGATAGTGTCAGTTCCTTTGTCGCTCGTGTGGCATCTCGTCGAGCTCGAAGTATTAACACGTGGTCTCGATCGAGTGCAAAGTCGATCTCGTTCCTTCCGCTTTCCTTCCATCCCATTTCGGCCATCGGTTTACTCGTAAAGTGCTCTATTTGGGTTATCTCAATCGGAACGTTTTGCATGTGACGGACGACTCCTCGATACCAATCAGTCGATCGATCCTACAAAGATACATCAAGTCAGATTTCGTTTGGCCACCCCGTCTAGGCACCTTCCAGTACAGTATGGCCACAGACAAGTCGAAGGCCGCGGTAGCAGCGCTCGAGAGGTTCGTTGATACTGAGCAAGAGGAGGTCAAGCTAGACAAGTCTAAAGCAGCAAAAGGGGACGCGTCGCGGCTGAACGACAGTGTCTACGACTGGACCCGAACGTATGAGCAATGGGACGCGTGGGAAGACCCGGAAGAACTTGCAAAGCAGGAACAGACGACTCGAGACCGGCGTGAACGTACCTCCAGAACTCAATTGGGCTGTGCGCACGACCACTCTGCCGTACGCATACTTCGCATAGTTTTTTGTGGCAGATGTTGTCGACCCGTATTGATGGCAGTATTTTCCTCTCCTTGTGCGTGACACAGGAGCAAAAGTTGATGGACATGACAACTGCAGCGAAATTGGCAGCGTGTGAGGAGTTTCGAGTGCTCGGTAACCTTTTCTACGAGCACGGCCAGTACCAACGAGCTGCACTGCACTATCACAAAGCACTCGTGTACTTTGAGTATGTGTTTACAGACACGGACGAAGAGGAAGCAGAGGCCGAGGCACTCAAGCTGAAGGTGTTGCTGAATGTTGCAGCCTGTAGACTCAAGACGGTGCATCTTGACGACGCCGTGCACCATATTGACCAGGCACTGGAAATCGACGCCGGTAACGTAAAGGCGCTCTACCGTCGAGCACAGGCTTTCCGACGGATGGACAAGTTTGATCTCGCGCAACGAGATCTTGCGTGTGCATTGAGACTTTGCAGAGCTGCAGATGATTCGCAGTCAGTAGCTTTGCATTTGATGCAAGAAAAGAAGCTGCTGCAAGCGAAAGCACTTGCTTACAAGTTGCGAACGAAGCAAGTGTCGGATGCGATGTTTGGCAACAGAGCACCACAAGACAAGGCGCTGCTGCGTCCCGCGCCTGAAAGTGCCAATGGACGTCGAATTCAAGATGGGGGCACAATGAATCTCAGCTTGTCGAAGAGGTCTGACTCGATCCTGACGTCGTTTTGTGATGATTACAAGTGTTGGAGCGCGTTTCAGCCATCTACTCGAGGACTAGACAAACTTCAGACATTGATATCGACGCCTGACGAGCGAACGATGGAGACCTGAGTGGAAAACAGTGAGAAAGAGATACATTCTATTGGATTTTTACCTGTGCAAGTAAGAGTGGACACCAGCTCCTCGTTTCTGCCACATTGCCAGCCAAACTATCAGATCCGCCTAGTCCTCGAATTTGAAAGAGTTTGAGGCCATGCTGATGGCACCGCACATGTACGTCGAGCGCTTGAGCTTATTCTTGCCCTTCGTAAAATCCTTCCCACGCGTCATAAGAAGCTTCGCGTTGGCCTTGACACCGACACCGTCCGTGCCAAACGTGCCTTCGTAACTGTTGTCACGCAGTGTGTCATTCACGATTTTCTGCGACCAGAACTCGCCATCGACACGTTGGAATGGTGTGCCCGCTGACTTGACCTTCGTGGCGACCGTTACCATTTTCATAGGCTGCCACGCGAGCGCAGCCTTAGCTGCCTCATCACGACGTGCAGCTTCTTTCTTTCGAGTCACTTCGTCCGCCGAAGAGTCCGAGTCCGAGTCTGATGAGTCCGAAGAGTCCGAAGAGTTATCGTCTGATGACGAGCTGGCCTCTGAGCTCGAGTCTACGTCCCGTTTTACCTTCTTGGTGTTCTTCTCGGCAGGAAGAGCCTCAGTCTTCCGCTTGCGGATCTTTGACTTCGCTTCGTCGTCGGACTCTGACTCATCCGATGAATCCGACGAGCTATCCGAGCTCGACGACTTATTCTTCATTGCCTTCGCCTTTACCTTCTTCGTATCAGCAGCAGCTCTTTTCCTCACCAATGTCTTTGCCCCTTCCACTTCCTCATCCGACGAGTCGCTCGAGCTGTCGCTCGATCGAGACTCTGCCACCTTCTTTGACCCCCTTTTCTCAGCTGCTTTCACGGACGACTTCGTCTTCTTCCTCTCCTTCTCCTCTGTATCTTGTAGCACTGTCTTCCCCTTTTCTTTCTTCTGACCGCTGCTCCTTGAACCCGTATTCCCCGTCAACTGCTTCTCCTTCTCAGCCTCGGATGAGTCCAATGACCCACTGCTCTTCTCCTTCTCCTCCTCCTTCTTCTTCTTCTTCTGCTCTTTCGTGACTGTGTTCTCTTTCACGAGGCGAGTCGCGGCCTCTCTTTTGCTCCCGTTGACTTTGTGCGTCACGTAATACGAGTACACATCGACCAAATCGTGCGTGCTCTCCAACGCCTGGGGCTGTAGCTTGGCTTCCTTTGCCAATGCAGTTGCTGCTTTCCTCAGGCCAGAGCGAGTCAACAAGGCGTGGATCAATGGCAGCACGTCGCTCGCTACTGTCATAGCGGCACAAGGTCTGTGCAGCTACCAGATGGGTACAAAGAGCTCTTCACGTGACTGACTGCAGACGGTGGACGGTGTCCAGCAGTATATGTCACCATCCGACAAAGTGCGATTCGGTGGCTGAAAGACTCGTTTCGATGCCACGATAGACTACAGCCACCGAACAACGACAAGCGCGTCGAGGCATACCATTACGTCCGAAGTTATGCCACATGGACAAGAGGTGTACCTGACAGGGGACTATGGGCAACACGAGGTTTATCATTTATTACAAACACATGGGATCCGACAACACTCAGCCCGAAATCCGCAAGCACACGTGTTAGAAGTAGTGCTCCTGTGAATCAGCTGATACGTATGCGAATGCGTGATGAAAGATGGAGATGTGCTCTAGTAGCTCTATGTGCTTGAGCCGACAACACGGTACCACTGCTATGCGCAGGTGGTTCAAACGAAACCACCAGAGCTCACGTGCTTCAGAAAGTGTGTACGAGAGATAGAGTGTTCTTCGTATCGATGTGTCTTTGGGCTAGCCACAAGTCAATTGGCATTCGGAGACTGTTGGAGTTCGATCCACGATGACAAAGGCTTTGACACCTCAATTTGATCACGGAGCAAGTTCGTTTTGGCCTGCGTCCGAGTCTAGCGGCAATTACGCATTCTGATGTGCTTTCTGCACCGATTCGTCGAATGGAGGCTTGGACTCGTGGGTCACTATAGTGCACCATCTACCCAACAACGCCCCTACGACGATATGAGCCACGTAATGACACCGGCACGAATGTCCAGCACAAACGCGGTAATCCATACGCATCATTCGTACCACATGGTTGGTCGATTGTGCTAAAGACTGTCATGCAACAAAAGCTTGGTGTATACACGAACTCAAATTCTTGTTCTAGACACGTTTTTGGAATACCTTCACGGATGTATGCTATACGAGCGAATACAAGCATACCTGGAATCATTTGCCCACATCGACGCACATCTTCTTCATTCCTTATTTTATACACCAGGTACAAACTTTTCAACTGTATCCGTCAACAGCCATTTCGCAAGAAGGAAATGGTGCTTTGACGCGTCAATCGAAACCAAAGACTGTTTTATATATCGTTCGATTGCAAGACCACGTAGCTTCTCTCTCGTTTATCCAGATCGATTGACGTTGTAATAATGTGGCTGTCGCCTTGGCGGTTGGTTGGATGTAGATGGAATAGACAGCGCCGTGTCACATTGCCGCCTTACTCTGGTGTAAGCGGTTTTAAACGAAAGACAAATGGCAACAATAGACGACGAATGGATATAGGCAGTAAGAGCATACATTGTGCGGTCCGTATCAAACACGTGGTATGGAATACTGACACTTCATTGTGCTAGATTCTTTGATGCAAAGTTGCTCAGCATGCGTTCAAACAAGATTATGACCCTCGCGTCATCGAGTGTATGTATCTGATGGTAAACGTACTGGCGTGCCAACACTTTTCATGGTGCACCCCTAATATTGTTTATTCTTGCCTTAATTTGATCTTAGTTGGGACTTTGATCTGTCCACCAGTGTGTGCATGGCGTGTCAGTGCAGTATATCACGCAACCACCCGCAGTTAAGCGCCTATTTGACGAAAAACACTTCCGATAGAAGCCATCATCCACACCATATCCGCACGCACAATACGGTGCATTCACTGTAAGACCTGAGTGGACGACTTTAGCCTTATCTTACTACGGCAACAAGATGCACAATCATCTGCAGATGTTTTACTTAAAAAGCATAGAAGACCACAGCGTAACGTAGATGGAGCTTGCATCGATCGAGCAGATGCATTGCTGTACTTGCCTCATGAAGGATAGGTCCAGACCACGATTGGCGCCAACATCGAGTACAAACAGGTCAACAAAGAAATAGAGGATAAAGCACGATGTACCATGCACCAAAGAAGTAAACAAAAAGATGCATTACTTTAATGAAAGCTAGATCCTAGCGGATGGACCATGACAAACTAATTGCCGACGAGGTGGGTCGCCGTAGTTTGTTTCTTCTGCCACTCAGCAAACTCATCTGCAAAGCGTCGGAGGTAAAGGGCGCTCACCAAATTTCCCTCCGCTTCCATCTTGGAGATAAATGCCTCAATATTACGCGATGGTCCCACAGAAGTCGCCCCATATCTCGACGACAAGTGCGCAATGGCCGCTTCCGCCGCAGTTTCCAGCTCCTTGAACCGCTGTGCCAGTTTGACAAAAAGTGGCGCAGTGACAGAATTCATCTGGTCGACCAGGTGAATCATCAATTGGGCCAAAATATCATCCGGCAACTTTTTATGCGCCAGAAATACGAGAATAGGTGTATATACCTCCATCACCATCGTATCACGAGAGAAATCTGCCGATTTCAGCTTTTCGATTTCCTCGATGACTTGACTTGAGGGTAGGCCCAGCACTTTACCACGCAAAGCGCTCGGGGGTACTGGCATCTCGTGATGCAAGCTTAATTGTGAAAACTGACGTAAAATCTCGATCACATCGTTCGGCAGCACCATGCCGCGAGGGACTTGCATCATCCTCTCGTCTTGATCGGTTTCGTCGGTAGCTTGAGATCTCAGTCGACTGGCCTCGTTGTGCTCGTGTGGTTCACCAGATGCAGCGGCCTTTGGTTGGATGAGGCCGGAAGCAGGGTCAGCATTGTTGAGCAACACCCAGCTGATGAGGACCGCATGTAGATAGAGCCTCATGGTAGAAGTGCGAAGGCAACGGGAAAAGGACCCTTAGCAGGGGAGAGCGGAATGAAAAATACATGAGTGGTACAAATGATCGATTAAATTAATAAGTATTACTCTATCTTGCAACCATAGGATCGACGTTCCAGTGCTGATGATAAAAAGCCGGCGTCCAGACCAGGTATTCCCCTTTTAGGCAGCAGAAGAGGAGCTCAGTGAAAAAAGAAGGCACGACACATGGTTTCGATTGTGACGCCACTTGGGCTTTTCACACCAGATGGCGTCATCATCTTATATTTAGTTGAGCATCGACATATTCAGCATGATTACAAAGTGCACCAGCACGTCGATCAGGTGCTGACAATTGTACAAATTCGGTGTGCTTATACTAAGACTACACCATTCTCCACCTCGATGGCTCAGTCTGCTGGCTCGAGATGCCGGGCGTCACGGGGCACAATTCGCAGAAAGCACGGGAACCGGGTATCTAGTCCGGGATGCAGACAGGGCGCTGGGGTTGCGAAAAACGTCGATTACCAACTCTGATCGTTCCCGATGGGCCGCTGACGCAACTGAACGGGTCCAATCAAATTACGTTTCGACCAGTCCGCGTCAAAGGACCGGAAAACAAGCGCGACGACAGGACCAACGAATTGAGAGATGACTTAGATTAGCAGGAACCAGGTGAAGGGGGGGGGGGTGACAATCGCTGTTGCCGTGCCCCTCACCCCGTAGTGTCGAGGTTGTTGCCCCCTCATGATGTGTACGCCGTGCTGCCTATCGTAGCGCACATTGCGACAAGAAAGCCCCCGCCATGTTGCCTGGGCCACACTACAGGAAAATTTGCACCCAGGGTAAGGGAGCCGGTACCCGACTAGGCGGAGGTCTTTGTCCCCGGCCATTGGTGCTCAAAGGCCCAAAAAACGAAGGGCTTTTCCAGTATAATTTGAAAAGGTTGGGGTGGATAAAGCCAGTCTGAGGAAGCTGGAAGTTGGCTAATGTGCAGCTTCTACGATCGGATATTCGGGCGGGAACGTTGCTGAAGCGGCTCTCAGGCCACTGCCTCAATATCGGTAGCTTATTCTTCTGTGTTTCACATGTGCTGCACAGTCTTTTCGCGCACATGCCGTCAAACGGGTTGGACTCAAATCGAATGACTCACGATAATGGCAACAGAGTCACGTTTTGCAAGCAATGTCCCCGAGACGCCGGAGAATCTTTAAACGAATACGACACGTCTTCAAGCATCGAGCTGTAAAGACTTTCTTGGGGTCCAGAGACCTTGTTTTGGTCAGGCTGGCTACGACAGTCGCTACGTCCGAAAGAAGCCTCTGCTGGGCTCAGATTTGGTGCACTGTGACAACAGCAAACACCACCTACGTTGGTGGGGATGAGCTGAACAAGGAAGATACATGCAAACAACAGCTCGACTCGTCGCGCCCGCAACTTTTAGAGAGACCGGCCTTTTCTTACAAAACGATGAAGCAACAACACGTCTGAAAGCTTCTGTGCGCCAGTGACGCCCTCGGGGCAGTCCAGCTGTACTACTATAGACTAGTGCCAGCCGTGTATCGTTGCTCATTTCTTTTGCGGCCGCTGCGGCGACCATTTAACGAGAGTTTGCATACGCCAAGAGCAATGGTTACCCACTTTGTCCATCGCGATAGAGGATTCTCGCCGGAGAGGACGCCCGATGAGGGGGGTGGATGGAGGCTTGTGAGGCTGGGCTCCAGCCTGTCGCAGAGCTATCGTTTGTCCAGAAACTGCGGTAAGGTTTTAGCACCCGTTACAAAACTCAAAAAGGATTGCTAATAAAGAGCCGTAACACGAGCGAGTGCGTCGCTGATTGATACGGGAATGATCGCGGAAGACACCTGATCACAATCATCGATGTCTCATAGTGCAAAACCGAAGGTCGACTGCGTGAATCTGATCTATAGATAGATTCTAGACTTGCGACATTTAGGTGCTGCTACTTAGGTACAGGTTGTGCGTAACGGGCTTAACGACGGTCCCATTCTTTTTGAGGAGGCACAAGTCTGATATGAATCGAAGCGCAGCGGCGTCTGTGCGTCTTTGCTATGACTGTAAAAAGTTCATGTGTATTGCATGTATCAAATAGTTCATCTGTGAAGCTGCCCAACTGAGTGCACGTGCACCCTTTGACATTCAACAAAATGTCCTCTGACAATGATACAGCTCGTCAGAAGGCTCGCAAGCCTCGTGCTTAATGTTATACGTCTTTGTGATATGTCATACGGGAGTCGCAAGTTAATGTGGATCCAATCCGCTTATTTAAGTCGATCAAAGTCGATACCCTTTATAGCAATCAGCAGAATTAACGTTCACTTGGACACCTATAAAGTTTGCTTCCTTGGCAATACACATTAAAAGTCAAGCCTACTCATGAATAACATAATTTATGGTCACCTTCGACGAACTAGCTGTCACACTTGGAGCTGGGGTCCTATATTGCTACGGTTTATAGAGGACTATTTCACTTCCGTACAGGAACATTATACCGTAATAGATTGGCAGTCCACTATTTTTCCAGACACCAATTGATTAGTACCACTCAAGCGCCAAGCCGATGTAGGCATAGCTGTACCGCTTCGCTTGTCCATCAGATGCATTAGTCGCTAAACACATTACTCTGGAAAAAGCCAAATTAAGGAGTGGTAAATTACATCTCATGCGTAGCCGATGCAAGCACAGCTGTGCTTCATCTTACAGAGAAGCAGGCGTATCTATTTAAGATTTTACCGGGTGCGGGGTGTCCGTATTGCTTATGCAATCGGGCACAGGGAGCTACTCACTGACAATAGTGCGTAGAAGGCTTTCACTGACTGCAGCGAGAACTAGTGCCCAATTACCTATGCGTAAACGGTACGCGTTCGAGGCAGACTTAGTACTAAACACAAGAGATCAGTAAAATAATAGGAAAACTGTATTAGTATATAAGTTAAAATGTGTGTCTTATTAGTCCTTCCTTACTCATCCATTATTACATATTATAGCATGTATAGTGACGTCTTCGCACCACCCTTGCGCGCGTCAAGCAGCTATTAATGTCATCATATCATTTTTATATACCAACTAATAAGTTATCCTTGAATCACTGAGTAAATATCACACTGAGCTGTTATATTCTGATAAAACTTTTTATGGAATATATTAAGGAATTTGCAAAATTTACACCCCTTTTCCTTAGATTCACACCCTTCCTTCCAAATTTTATATATACAAGGTACGCAATCGCCGTTGGACAAAGACGAGTACTTTCTCTGCCACTTGGCTACGGGCGACATCTTGCGCGCTGCTGTAGCTGCTGGCACCGACATAGGCAAAAAGTTCAAGCCGCGATGGAGTCGGGCGCACATGTGGCCGACGAGATTGTCGTCGGTATCGTTAAGGACGCCATCAAGAGTTTGGAATGCCGTCGTGGCTTTATTCTTAACGACTTCCCACGAAAGGTCGTGCTGGCTAAAAATGTGAGAGCAAGAGGAGATACAGACGAGTGTCCAGGTTGCAACGCAGAGGCTGACCATAGTTCCCTCTTTTTGTATGCGTAGTTCTCGCAACTGAATTTGTACCTGCTGGCCTTCAATGACGTCTCTTGCGCTGGCTAAGCGAACGTGTTGTACCTAACAGTGACAACGGTCCTCAAGGCGCGTGAAGGTGGCGATCTAGACTGGAGCCAAGTGGGACAAATCACGTGGGTAGTCGTGTCACTGCCGCTTAAAGTGGTTCAGACGATTAATGGCCTAGATTATTGAGTAATACCTTTGTCAGAAAGTTAATCTTGAACTGAATAGGGTTTTTGTATATAAGTTTTTGAAGGAGGGGTGTGAATATAAGGAAAAAGGGTGTGACTTTAGCACTTCCCTATATTAATATTACTCAAACTTGCAGTGATTATATAAAGTCTCGGGTCTACCCCGTTCCATATAGCGTTCAAGGTTAAATTAGTTCCCAACGTTCTCTAATTGGGGCGATTATCAGATTTTGCCAGCAGGGTTGCGCACATGGGCATGACTATAAATGTGTTCCACCGTCTTTTCCCCCACGACTGCAATAAAGTTTTGACAAATAAGGTCAAGCTGTCTTTACGTAAATAGGGTCAGCCAATAACATGCAATTGGCAACATTTATGCCCATATATATATTCTAAATTAATGATTTTTCAAAATATGACTCTTGTGAGTTTATAATATTAAGTATTACATATAGAGGTAATTTGTGGCGCCACTTTGTACTTAATTGATACAGGCCATATTTATCATAAAAATAAATCTTGGGTCGCTGCTAGAGGCGCGCAATGAATGAGGAGTGACCTTCTGCTTATAAATTAAGTAGTTTATCAGATTGTAGGTTAAATAGAAGCGTATAGAGGAGGCTTCAAAAATATATATCTAACTTTAATTATACGTATATATCCTCTGAGCACATCTTGCCCCGATTTTTTACGTTCTATGTACGCATAATGTAGATGAGAAAGAAATGCGCACCCATATAATGTAACAATACAAGGGATTACTAGTTATACGGTAATAGGTGTGACCCATCGCAAGCCCCGAAAAATGCTTATTTGCCGCATTACAACTCCTATAACAAATCCATACCTTAAATTTTGTATGCCAGAGTGCGCGCGCCCACAAAGCAAGTGTTGTGTCCATTCAGCGGACAGATAGAAGGTTTTGCGCGCAGCGTTGCCGCTTATGGCGGATGGATGATGTAGCGTCTGCCGGGACCTCTCCAAAATGTAACGTTTGTGATTTTTTTTGCGTATTTGTACGCGATGTAGTGCAAAACACTCCACGAAAGCTTGTATGCTATCAGATGGGAAGATAAGAAACTGCTAATTACTTTTTTATTCCACTGGAACGTCAAAATTCGGCTGCTGGTCACTAACAACATACGTGTTCTTATGCAATGTACCAGTGTACACATTCCATCTTCTAATTGAGCAAATGATACCCTGCTACTCATAAAATTTACAATTACCGATCCCCTGA